CAACCCCAACCACCGCAACAAGGACGCTGCAGCCACTGAGGTCCTGCCCCACCTGAAGACACGCGCCCCTCCCGACACCATCACGATCTGCCGACGACCGGAGAACGAGACCCCACCTGAAAGGCGGAGCTCCGCCCGAACAACCAACTCCAAACCGGCGCAGACGAGGAGGGAAAATAAAGGGCTAACCACTAGAAGCAGGTCAATCGCCGACTGGGATGGGCACCTACTCCGATTGAAGCTTCGACTGCAATCTGAAGCTGGAACCCCAGCCGTCGCCATCCGCAGGCTCCGAAGTCGCGACGCGTCAAGGGGTGGGGAAGGCGGTCGAGGACGACCCCTAGCTGATGCTACTTCACCGTCGAGGAAGGCGACCTGAAGGATTGAGGAGGAAGAACGGGATCTGACGGGAATGTGCGGAGGATTTTTGGAATTGAGAAATATGTAAATATTTAACAAATATGTAATACTTTTTATGTGTGTAAATTTTAATTTATCAAACATTCTAAAAGTTTTGTAATTAATTCAAACAATATATTGCTCATTTAACAAATATGTAATATTTTTTTTATGTGTCTAATATTTTAATCGAGTATAATAATGGAGTTTTATCAATACAATGCCCGAAAGATGGGTAAACTATCAATGCGGGGCCTGAAAGATTTTTTTTTCTGAATTCGGGACTTAAGTGTAATAAAACTATCAAATTAAAGACCCGAAAGATGGGTAAACTATCAACGCGGGGCTTGAATTTTTTTTTTCTCAATTCGGGACTTAAATGTTATAAAACTGTCAAATTAAGGCTAGAATTAACAAAACTCATAACACCATTAAATTTAGAGTTAAAAAAAAAAGATTGGTGCTTAAATTTAGAGTTTTTTTTTTTAAAAAATAATATTTAATTATTACATTTAATTTTGATATTCATTCACATTTTTAAAAATTTTGCATTCTTCCATCAATTTTTTCTACTCTTTAACTCACTTTTCATTCAACCATTTTTACATAATTTATAATCAATCGTACTCTTGAGTGTTTATAATATTATTGTCCTTATAAATATCTTTGTTTGTTGTTAAAAGAATAAAGCAAGTATTTATATTAAGTAAATAATTAATATGATTTTTATATTTAAATTGATCTTATGTTTATTGAAATTTCATTCATATGCATTGATAGTTTAAAAATGTGAATGAATATGAAAATAAAATGTAATAATTAAATATTATATTTTTTTAAAAAAAACTCTAAATTTAAACACCAATCTTTTATTTTTTTTTTTAACTCTAAATTTAATGGTGTTATGAATTTTATTAATTCTAGACTTAATTTGATAATTTTATAACATTTAAGTCCGAAATTGAGAAAAAAAATCTTTCAGGCATCGAATTGATAGTTTATCTATCTTTCGGGTCTTTAATTCAATAGTTTTATAACATTTAAGTCTCGAATTGAAAAAAAGATATTTCAAGCCCCGCATTGATAGTTTATCCATCTTTCGGGTCTTTATTGATAAAACTCCAATAATAAGTTTAATTTACAAAGTTGTTTTTTTTTTCCGAAACAATATGGATACTATAAATCAAAAAGCACAAATGTGCGAATATACAGCAGCCAACGGCTGAATACACAGCAGTCAACAGCTGAAAAAAGTGGAAGGACGTGTCAGAAGACCGCCTAGAGTCCTGTTAGCAACGCTAGAATAAAATACTCGCAACAGACTAACCTATTACAAACTAAACTAAAACGAACTAAAAACCCGAACAGGGTCATATACAAAGTTGTTAATTAGGTGACTTGTGAAAAGTATTACAACTTGCAAAATTTAATATAAAAAATTAATACTTCAATAATATAAGTTGTTGGATCTATTTGAAATTTTTAAAGCACATTCACCAACACTGTGAGTTCCCATCTCGCGGTTATTGAAAAAATCAGTAAGTTTCATACGAGCTTGCGTTTTTCGCATTCGGGATTTGAAAATGCCCCTTACTTCAAGTTCATGAGAGTGCCCATTTTTTTTTTTGTAAGAAAGTGCATTCAATTTTTTCTTTCTTCGTCATCTATTTGCCTCGTTGATGTTTTTACAGTTTGATTTACTTTAAAATGTAGAATGTGGAAGATAATTGATTTTTAGGTATTTTGAATCTTATTGTTGAAAT